GTTTTTAAATGGCAATATATCAGCATATGAAGATATTGGGATATTTTAATGGATCAATATTTTTTCCCTCGTCTTTAGAAGTTTTTAAGTCTGTAAAAACGAAGTTTTTGAGGAAGAAGAAGAAGTAGTATTTTTGTTTTTGTTTTAGACTTTAGAAACTCAGAAGCTGATCAAATATCGGGTTAAATATCGGTGGGGTGGCCGGTGTCCAATATTCAGTTTAAAGGCCGATACCGATAGGGGGCCAATTATATCGTGCATCCCTAATATGTTGTGATAATTTGCTTTAATTGGTTATAATTAAAAGTCTGGACACATAACAGTGATAAACTTGATGAAATATATTGATTGTGAGGTAAACCATCAAATGCAAAAACTAAACTTACCATAGCATGATTAACAATAAGCACCGTACTGATCCAGATACAAGACGACCCTGATTATAAGATGACCCCCTCCTTCCAGAACCAGTTTTTTAGGAACAAAACAAAAAGACCATAAATAAAATAAAAAGACTGATAAACCAAATTAATTTAGTTTAAATAAACTATTTTATATTGAAGGGCTAACAATGTCATTGAAATAATGTTGCATTGAAAGATTTGTGCAAGTAAACAATAAAAAGTAAAAAACTCTCGCAAAACTTCAACTCGAATGCAATCTGAACTTTGCTAATGGAACATCTCAAAAACCTGCATGTGGTTTTTCCTCACAGACGTCCTCTAACCTGCTGCCTGGCGGTCTTCTGTAACGGCGGTAAAATAACCCCACCCACAGTGAGGTCACTGGCTTTACAAAAACTGGCGCCCTCTGCTGTTGCGTCCGTTGATTTGGTTGATGATAAAAACCCCTAATTGTCCTAGAAAGAAACAAACCCAAACAGTTACTTTTCTGCAGAAGAGGAGAGTGGACCCGGACAGAGAAGGACACTCCCTGAATATCTGTGGTCAACCCTGCTGGGACCTCTCTGTCCCCCACATGACCCCTGACCCCCCAAAGAGACATCTGGGGGGTCAGAAGTTTAAACATGATAAACCATGACAGTTCCTTGTGCAGTTTACTTGGGTGATGACCAGTCACCTGCAACCACACACAGCTGGATAGAGCATGAGTTTTCATTTTCTGGGAGAACCATTTGTTCAAATGCCTGTAAGCTAACATATTTTTCTAAAATCTGCGTAGCGACCCTGGACAACTGTTAGCCTGTATAATTAAATAGACCCGATTATAATGTAACCCCCCATTTTCACATTGTTTTTAATGAAAAAAAACATCTTATATTCGGGCCAATAAGGTTAATAAAATTCTTGCAGACATTACAAAATGCCGTTTGGCCTTCTCGGCACTGGATGTCTGGTCTGGCTGTTTGACTAATGAGGGTTAGAGGGAAAGGATTAGGGTTATTTCTGGCGTTCAGGGTTTAATTTTTTCCCCCAACATTAAGTTCATGTCTCTGTCCTCCACAGCGATCCAGGCCCTTCGCTCCGTGCTGAACTCCTTCTCTATAGTCAACAGGAAGAACATGTTTGTCTACCAGGAGCGTACGACTAAATCTGTCTTTTACCTCCGGTGAGTTCAGACATCAGTGGACATGTGGACATCAGCTGCATCCCTTCTGCTCTCTGGTCTGACCCACCGGTTATATCGATTACATAGTTTGGATCAAAGCAAATATTGTCCCACATCAGCCCATTTGACTTCCTATAACAAAGGGGAAAACTTTCATTTGTGGAACAGGTTATTTTTTGGCCATTATGGAAACTAATTTGCTCTGCGTTTTTCCCTCAGACTGTGTGAAACCTCACAGACCAGCAGATACCCTGACCTGGATGGAAACCTTCATACGCCCCCCCGGCCCTTGGGGCTGGTTAGAAGCCAGGAACCTGTTAATCCTGAAGACCAGATGGTGAGCACCTGGAAAACATGTGTTCCATGTGTGTGGGGGGGGGGATGTACAGAGTTTGTTCTGAAGTGAAGGAAGGATAATGAAACAGAAATGTTGTTTTTTCTCTTCAGGGTCCCAGATCTTCAATTGAAGGCTCCCGTCCAGTAGGACAGGTGGACAAGCACATCCTGCTGCTGGTGCATGGAGTGGGAAATGCAGGTGAGGGAAAAGACATCGACATGAATAAGTCCTTGAAATTTTATCAGTTGAAAAAATAAAGTTCAAGATCCTGAAAGGGTTTAAAAAGCAGCCACAAAAGCACTCCATCCTTGAAAGTCCTGAGAGGTTTTGAGTTTTAAATTTGATATGGACGACACTAGTGGGTGTGAAGTGGTTGGAATTCCCAACATGTCTCTGTCCTCATGCAGCCTGTGATGTTCTCAGAACATCTTAAACATCCCTCATAAGCGGCAACTTTTCTCTCCAACTGTACTGGTCCTGTGGAGAACGCTGGTCCACTGGTCTAGTCGTTATAGAACGCCGGTCCACTGGTCTAGTCGTTATAGAACGCNGAGCCTGGAAAACTGAGCCTGGAAAACAGAGCCTGGAAAACAGAGCCTGGAGAACAGAGCCTGCAGAACAGAGCCTGGAAAATAGAGGCTGGAAAACAAGACCTGGAAAACAGACCTGGAAAACAGAGCCTGGTAAACAGAGCCTGGAAAATAGAGCCTGAAAAATAGAGCCTGAAAAATAGAGCCTGGAGAACAAGACCTGGAAAACTGAGCCTGGGAAACAGAGCCTGGAAAATAGAGCTTGGAAAACAGAGCCTGGAAAACAGAGCCTGGAAAATAGAGCTTGGAAAACAGAGCCTGGAAAACAGAGCCTGGAAAACAGAGCCTGGAAAACAGACCTTGAAAACAAGACCTGGAAAAAAGACCTGGAAAACTGAGCCTGGAGAACAGAGCCTGGAAAACAGACCTGGAAAACAGAGCCTGGAGAACCGAGCCTGGAATATTTTGGAATCTGGGGGAAAATCCGGTGGTTCTGCAGAGAAAAGCGGATCTTCTGATCTTCTGGATCGGAACCGCAGACTGACTGATGGAGGATCAGATCTCAGAGGTTCTGGGAACACCAGTCCGGTCCGCTCCGGTCCGGTTCCGATGTTCCGGCTCACCGAACCGGTTCGTTTCTTGCAGGGTTAATATTAAGAGGCCGGTACCTTTAGAACCCGCTCCGCTCCGGTTCGGTTCGGTGGATTAAAGCTTCTCCTCGCGCTGCTGTCTGCCTCCATCCGCCATTTTGGGTCCAGCAGACTGTTTTTCCACTCTTCTCCACCAGAGGGAGCCCTCTGCCCAATCACTGCCTCTGATTGTGAACCTGGAGGCCAGTTCAGGATTGTTTCCCTCTGATTGGCTGGGAAGCAAATTAGATCCAGAGAATCAGAGCCGTGTTCTGGTTCTGATCCGGTTTTAATAGTTCCGGTTCTCCTCCTCAGATCCCTGCCTCTACATCCCCCGCTTTGCTCACATGTTGGAGTTTGGAGCCAAGAACCACGAGGTCTCCATGACGGCGCTGCGTCTGGTCCAGAGGATGAAGAGGGACTGGATGCACACGGGTCGCCGGCCGTCTGGGCTCTGTGGAGCAGGTAGAATGGGGACGGTGGTCACCATGGTAACAGCAGCCCCCCCCCCACCATCTTGAGATGACCAGATGTTTCTTCTCCCTCTCAGCTCTGCTGGTGGCGGCTCGGATGCACAAGTTCCGTCGGTCGGTCAAAGACGTGATCAGCGTGGTGAAGGTGTGTCAGACCACCCTGAGGAAGAGGTGAGTTCTCTCCGCATCCTCCAGCTTCTAGAAGCTTCCAGCAGCGACCCCTCTGAACCAACCGGTCCCAGTCAGGGGCGGATCTAGGAACTTTGGGGCCCTAGGCAACTGCATAGTATTGCCTGATGGTAAATCCCTCCCCTGGTCCCAGTCAGTCCAATCAGATCACGCCTCTCTTCTATGTTCCCTGCAGGTTAACGGAGTTCGAGGACACGCCCACCAGTCAGCTGACCATCGACGAGTTCATGAGGGTGGATCTGGAGCAGGAATGCGACCCTCCGTCCTTCACCGCTGGACAGCACAAAGCCAAGATGCAGCAGGTAGAGCTCCCAGCCTCTGATTGGCTGTTGACTTCCTGCCCTGATCACAGATAGGTTAAAATCAAACGCTCTCCTCCGCAGCTGGAGCAGGAGCTGGCCCGGAAGCTGGACGAGGTGGAAGGTTAGCTTCTATAGAGGAGAATCAAACCACATGCAGGAGGTGGAGAGAAGACCTGATGATCTCCGTTTGCTTTGGTTCTGACAGGAGAGATCAGCAGCTACACCGAAGAGATCGAGACCGAGCTGGAAAAGAGCCAGCCCAAACTGAGGGGGATCTACGCCGCCTACGCCAAAGAAATCGGTCTGTTAAAAAGGACTTGTTTTCTGAGTTTATGTAGCAATTAGAGATAATCTATAAAGGAAGAGTAGCAGGAGAAAAGCAGAGAGTGAAAAAGGGGTCCCTATGTCCTCCAGCAGTCTAAGCCTATAGCAGCAGAACTATAGAGATAGATCAGGATAACCTGAGCCACTCTAACTAGAAGCTTTATCAAAAAGGAAAGTTTTAAGCCTAGCCTTAAAAGTAGACAGGGTGTCTGTTCTAACTTTAGTAATACTGTGGAGTTTGAAGAGGCTCATAAAGAAGAAGATCTTTCTTGGTTTTAGGTCCGGAGGAAGAGGAAGTCCCGTCCTCCACGTCGGACCTGGAGGAGGAGAGAGAGGACGCTGACCTCCAAGCTGCTACGCAGCGCCTGACGCAGGACTTCCTGTCTCAGGTAATCCAGGAAGAAGAAGGGCAGGAGAAGAGGACGCTTGAGGTCGTTTACGACCAGGAGGTGGCGCCAGAGGAGAGTGCAGGTTTACGTCCCCAGGTCCCCTCTTTAGCTTCTATCCTGGGAAGGCTACCAAGCGCCGCCAGCCTGGGCCTCCATGAGACCTTCAACACCTTTGATGAGTCCGAACCAAGCGAGAAGCCAGACGGTGAGAGGAAGACATCACATCAGATACTTTCTACACCAAATAACCAGTTAGTCTATCAACTGCTGATCCAGTAATGATGGTTTCATCTCCATCTAACTGGATGACCACCAACATCACATGGTTTCATGATGGAGGCTCTGCTTTGTCTTCCAGAGGAGACGCCTCAGACCGGAGAGCTGGATCTAGAAGGTATCGATGATCAGGAGATTGAGAAGGTGAGCTTCTACGTTCCGCTACAGGACCAGGGAGATGGACTCTGTTGGACCTTCTCTGATTGGCTGTTTCTGTTGGCTGCAGTACATCCTGAATGAAAAGGAGGTAGAGGTGAAAACGGAGCTGTGGATCAAGCAGAACGCAGACTACCTGCAGGAGCAGAAAGGTGAGCATCAGTCATGAGGTGGCGGTTGATCAGAAGCCATCATTCTGGGTTTAACACCCACTGTGTTTGCAGAGAAGGAGGAGAGGATAAAGAAGGAGAAGGAACAGGGGATCTACAAGGAGAAGGTGAGTCAAACACGGGGTCTCCCAGGCTGCATTGCAGGGACTGGTTATCTGCTCTGACGTCACACCTGTCTGTGTCTGCAGAAGAAGAAACCCAAGAAGCGCAAACAGATCGAAGCAGCAACAGCAGGCGAGGCCATCGAGAAGATGTTGGAGAGAAAGAGGATTTCCTGTAAGATCAACTATGACGTCCTCAGAGACCTGAACCAGACCGCTGAAGGTCACAGTCCACCCGCCTCCGAGCCCTCAGAGGGGGCCGCCAAACGGAAACGCCTCAGCCGCCGCCGCAGGAAGACCAGCGACGCCAACAGGGAGCTGTCCGCCAACGCAACCAAAATGACAAAAAGGTAACGGCAACTAGAAACGAATCACCAGCAACATGGATCTGATCGGCAATAATAAATGAGTCCTCTATCTGCCTGGTGTTAGGTTCCGTCGCCTCATTTCCTCGCCAAGGAAAAAGAAAACATCTCCTCAGGTAATGTCCCCCCGAC